CGGCGTAGCGGTTAAGTGCGTACAATCCACTGCTGGCAGCCCGGGTTTAGATCCCGGGTGCGCACCGACGCACCACTTGTCAGGCCATGCTGTGGTGGCGTCCTATATAAAGTGGAGGAAGATGGGCACAGATGTTAGCCCAGGGCCAATCTTCCTCAGCAAAAAGAGGAGGATTTGCATGGATGTTAGCTCAGGGCTGATCTTTCTCACACACACACACACACAAAAAAAAAATCTTCTCAATTATCTTCTCCTAAAGTAGGGTTCAATAAGTGTGAGTGATCTGTAGGAAAAACATGGGGTATAAAGGAAAGAGTTTGAGCACTGGGGTAAAGAAAGAGAGCTATTATTTATGGACTAGAAAAGATACGGAGAACAGCTAAGTGGGGAGGGGAGGGAGCTGCTTCAGAGTGAAGAGCTGAACAAAAACCAGGACAGAAACATAGAAAAATCCAGATTTTCTTTAAATCTAAAGAGATTCAAAAGATGTATTTTTAAAAAACAAGGAGGCTGAGTTAGCAATGTGCAGTCTAAGAGGTGGGGTTGGGGCAGGGGGCAGGATACACTTCATTGAAAAGGCCCTGGCACCCTGTGACACAGCTCCACTGGTACACTGATGCACTGGTCAGGGTGGTGATGGGGCCTTACCCGTGCTCTCAGTTCTCTGCATTATTTGAGTGATCAGGTCCTAGAGGGAAGGCAGAGAAACCGAACTTTCCTTTCCCATGGGATGTGCGAGAATCACCTGAATGAAGTGAACTGACTTCGCAGGACCAGACACCATTTGTTCTCCCGCCCTGTGGTGGGGTAGTTTCAGAGGCAGAGCCCCATTCTCTGTGTGGGATGGTGCAGGCACTCTCAGGCCTGCCACCACGCTCTGTGGTGCCTGGGGAAGCCATTCCAGAGCCCACCACTTGACTGCTTCCTACCTCTCCCTCAGGAACTCTCCATGGGCATTCTGCCTCACAGCCGGAACCCCAAAACGAAGGGAGACATGAAGGGGGCCTTAACTTGCACGCTTTCCAGGGAGCATGGAATTCTGACTGCATACCTCTAGTTGAGAAGGCTGGTGAAAGTTCAGCACCCAAGAATCTAAAACCGCCCAGGAAGAAACTTTGAAAGATGAGATCTTTATATTCAAGTAACTAAATACAACTGCTCCCATAAACGGACATTCCGAAAGCCCTGCCTGTTTATCCAGAGCCTTATGCTTCTGTGAGTTAAGAGCTCCCAAGAAGATAATTCGCTTGTCCCCAGTTGCGAAATACTCAAGAAAGGAGACACAATTAGGGCGTGGAGATGGGAATGAAAAAGTTCCAAGAAATCACTGGTATCTAAACCTGGTAACCCTAGGAGCCCAAAATAAATACTTCCTATTATTTTCACAGGTAATAAGCACCAAGGGGAGGAGGGAGTGGAGAAGAAAAAAAACAAACTATGAAATGCATTCTGACTGCGGGATGACATTCAGGGAGGGAGACACTGAGGTTAAGCAAAAGAACTGACCTCCAAAGACTGAAATTCCTTTTTGGATAAAGACTCTTTCTGCCAATACCTGGCTGGAGATGGAGGAGGGGGAAAGAGAACCCACTGGATTTAGCAGGCAGACATCATACTTGGCCTGCTTTCAAAAATATAAATATTTGGTATATTTGGCATGTTTTATTTATTTTTCATGAAGACCAAAAAATCTCATAATTATGCCTGACAAGTAAGGGTTAGAAATGGAATATGGGAATATCTTTCTCTTTTTACTTTGCAAATACAGGTGGGCATTAAAATCACTGAGGTGGTCTGCTCTACACTGAGTTGCTCGCTAGCAGCTGAATTTTCCCATCTCCCCCCGTCTCTGATTAGGTCCAGGAGAGAGACACTGTCAGTCAGTCCTGCTCTTCCTGGTGCCTCCCAGCGCCAGCCTGGAAGCCTGACAGCAGTCCACGGCTTTAGTCTGTTCTCTATGCAGTGCTGCCAATCTCTGCTGGAAGATGGAGCTCACAGAGGCAGGACTGGGACCCTCATGGTAACCCACAATAAAAGGGGCAACCTGGAAGAAAAGAAACCAGAGCCAGTGCACTGGGAGGGGGGCAGCTTTGGGAACAAACAGCCTTTAAGAGGAAGACCGCTCTTTGATATTTGAGAGACATTTGACTCAAAGCAATAGCAACAGCTTTACCAGCTTGACTCTGATTCTCATCACTCTATATGAGGGCTTTTCAGCAAGTCCCAATTAGGGCAGACTGTACCAGGTATCCAGGCTGGGCTCTGGGGTCACTCCTGAGAACCGCACCCAGATCCGGGAAAAAGAACAGGGGCACAAAATGAAAACGATCAAAAAGAAACTAAGACAAAGGAATGAGCCTGAGAATCTGTGTGCTTGTGGGTGAAGCCAGGAGACAAAAGGATAAACCAGAGAGAAAAGCCATCATCACAATGTCACCTTTTACACACTCTTCTGCTCCCCCCTGGGGGTGAGGGAAAGGACGTGATCTGAGAGATACCCAGGTGCACTGGGCCAGCTCCAAAGATGAGACATAGGTAACAGGGGGAACAGAATCTTGTGTTTGCCTTCCTGAAGATTCAGACTATGTGACCCGGAAGAGACTTTAAGGGCTGTTTAACCCAGTTCCCCTCAATTTGTACCTAAGGAAGGGGACTATTCTGGGACACACAGCGATCTCAGGTTCTTTTCCCTAGTCCACATCATTTCTGGGATTTGATTCCAGTCAAATCCAGTCAATCGTTCTGAGTAACAGGTGTTATTAATTATACCTACTTTACATAGAAGATGACCAAGTACAGAGGTTATGACTTTCTAGGAGTAGCTACTCAGCAAAACCTGGTAAAGGCTGGATGAAAAATGTGGATTAGACACCACACCAAGAACAGAAAGGGAAGAAAAAAGATACTGAACAAGAAAACCCTCTGCTATTCATTCCAAGAGACATGTATTCCTGTCTAAAACTAGCTTTTCCAGTTTTTACAGATATTCTAGATTCTCTCACTGCAATCACTCTCCAAAACTGGTGGCTAACTCCCAATACCAAAAGTTTAGAGCCAAAGATAGGAAAAGGAACTCTATTTTAAGCAGAAATTAACCTTGTATTTCTCCATTGATGCTGGATCTTATCATTTTCTATAAAACTATAATTAGTATCCAATCACTGCCTTCCGCATCTTATTTCTGCACCTTCCCACCCCACCGCCCTGCCCTGCCCACTTCCCTCTAAATCTCAGAGGCCAGGAAGTCCCAGACCAGGGTCACTTCAGGACTACTTCATTAACTGCAGCTCCACGGAGAAATTCTGCTTTGGTTCTGGGTTTCCTGCACCCCCTCCCAGATCCAGAACCCACAATTTTGCCATGTACTACACAAAGACGATGTTTTGCCTCCAGTTCAGATTCTCAGAGCAGAAGCTCTGCACCACCTGACCTCTTCTATCTGGATCATCAGTAAGCACCCGAGATCCAGGAAACCACAACTCTCCCTTTTCCCTTATCCTCTGCCCCTCACCCCACTCTGGGTAAACTGTACCAAGTAAAAGTAAATCAATATTGACATTCCAACTATGGAAATCTACCTAATCCTTCTGTTGAATGCATTTTTAAGAAATCTCTGCTCTTCCCTACTATCATTCTCATTTACTTTTCATAATCGTATTAATTTGCCTTTTCCCACATGGGGCTCATTTTGTTCCAACTAAGCAGTCCCACCTTTGCACTCTCCTGTGACACACCAAAGGCTTTCTATCCATAGATGACATCAGCCTAAGGATAAGGACATGAAGGGCAGCTAGTATCAAAAGCTGACACAGACCTATAGATGACCCATTTCTACTCCAAACTCTCAGTCTATCTAAAACCCAATGTTTCTTCTAGAAGTTTAAGCTCTACCAATTCTTTATAAGATTCCAGGATGGTTGTACAAACCAATGAGGTAAAACTGAACATCTGAGGAAAAAAATGAGCAGGTCACAAAGTAAAGCTAAATTGACATCAACCATATGACAACCTTTAACTTCACTCATAACTAAAGGCAAATCAACAATACCCCATTCATCTTTTTCCACTCAGATTAGCAGTTAAAATGTTTGCTAACGCCCAGCACTCTCACACATTGCGTGACTCAGGCGTGAACAATGTTTCTACAATCATAATAATGTAAACACTAAATGCCACTCTAACCAAAGCTTGATATAATTATATTAGAAGAAAGAGAAGATGTGTGGGGAAGGGGGGAGTGTCAGTTAAAAACCTAATTGTCTACAATAGGAAGTCAATAAAGAATGCCTAACAGAGGGCCAGCCCTGTGGCATAGTGGTTAAGTTTGGTGCCCTCCACTTTGGTGGCCCAGGTTCACAGCTTCAGATCCCAGCCAAACCTACACCACTCATCAGCCATGCTGTGGTGGCATCCCACATACAAAATAGAGGAAGACTGGCACAAATGTTAGCTCAGGGCGAATCCTCCTCAGCGAAAAAAAAAAAAAGCCTAATATAGGGATGGGGAAAATCAGGAAATAGCAGTGTAAATGTGATTTTTTGAAATAGAGATAAATAAAAGGAGAAATAATCAAGAGTTGAAAGTGGCTGTCTCTGGGAAATGGGACAGGCTGAAGGAGGAAGGACTACTGATTTTTGGTTTTGGCCTTGCAGCAGAGATCATTGTCTTTCTTGTCATCATCAGCTTCATCTTCACAAGCAATAACATCTACTGGCTGTTTACCATTTACCAGGCAACATTTCAGTTGCCTTCTTTGTATTATTTCATGTAATCCTTACAATCTTTGAGAGGTAGACACTATTTTGGTATCCACTTTACAGATGAGGAAAATGAGGCACAGCAGGGAATGCTGCCCAAGATCGCTGCACTAGGAAGTGGCAGAGCTACAGCAGTCCTATTTGTCTTTTTATTCCATATACATTTTTAACTTTTAACAAAGTAATAACATACAGGCTAAACTGTAATCATGTACATGCACACAAGCAGCAGCATTTGGAAATAAAAATGGCCACTTAAATATGAGGGTGTGAGCTATTTCCAGTCTACATGATATAAGGCTCAGATGGGGACATTGCTGTCACACCAAAATGTGATTATTTAATCTGAACAGGTACTCCCTGCATACAGGCTGAGCCTACATGTCCACCCAATTACTGAGAACCTCTGTGCCCTACGGAGGAAAAACTCCAAACTGCCCTCCCTGGAGTTTATTCACACCCACCTCATTTTCTGAGACTAGAAAAAAATATTTCTAATTTCTAAATGAAGTCAGCTTCCAGGATTCTTGTAGCCTGAGACTGAGAGTACATTAATATCCATACCAAAAAGGGTTCTTTGCTGTCCTCATGCTCATCTCTGTGATGGAACACTCTCCTCAGCAAAATGTGCCCACTTAACAAAAGTCTACATATAGTTTCATGAGATTGATGGCCCTTCTGAAGCCCATCCATGGACCCCGGGCTAATCTAAGAATGCTTGCTCTGGGCCGGCCCCGTGGCTTAGCAGTTGAGTGCGCGCGCTCCGCTGCTGGCGGCCCGGGTTCAGATCCCAGGCGCGCACCAACTGCACCGCTTCTCCGGCCATGCTGGGGCTGTGTCCCACATGCAGCAACTAGAAGGATGTGCAGCCATGACATACAACTATCTACCGGGGCTTTGGGGAAAAAAAATAAATAAATAAAAATTTAAAAAGTTTAAAAAAAAAAAAGAATGCTTACTCTGCAGGAAAACCCTCTGCTCCCACTGGAAGAGAAGAGAAGGAAAGACAAGACCTAACCACCTCCCAAATGTTATTATAAAATGTTATTATAAAAAAAATTTTAAAGCAGTCTTTTTTTCCCATCAGCACAATTATAGGAACTAGGAAAAGACCACAGTCAGTAACCAGGATGCTCAAAACTCCAAATAAGGTATATCCTTAGAATTCTACATTAACTTTCTTTACAGAGATGGCATCTTCTAAAAATCCACCGAAAACAGATGGCAGCTACCATTGCAGAAGCACCCTCTCCGCAGGATATTGCTGATGAGGCAAAAATGTTTCCCAAATCTCAAGGAAACTGATATTTAGCTAACGTAAAACAACCTCAGATTCTGTTAATTGTTGCACAGCTAAGATAATGTCACATCTCCAGGGACATGGTCCCCAAGGAGTCATGGAGAAAAAAAATGTTTCCCAAGAGGGGCAACATTTATGTAAAGAGGACTATATCTGTGCATAAGTATATGATTGTAATCGAAAAGAAAAAGGTTTATAAGGAAAACAACCTAACTGTACTGAGGAAGGGTCCTGAAGGACTTTTCGCTGGTATATTTCATGTTCCTTCCACACACCTGAGTTCCAACAGTGAGCAGAGCCTCCTGCTGGGTGCTGCCTCCAGGTGCCGCAGGAAGTGAGCACACCTGCCCTGTCGAGGTCACACTGAGACTCACTAGAGCAGAGTGTATTTTTTGGACTCTGGAGGGAGGTGACTTGGGTTTAAATTCCAGCCCCACCACTTCGTGCTGACAGCCTTTTGGTTAGTTACTTAACTTCTCTGTGCTGAAATCTCCTCATCTGGAAATTGGGGATAATTACAGTAACTTACTTCACAGGGCTCTTAGGATTAAAGGAGCTAATACATATAAACCACTTAAAAGAGCACATAGTCAGTGCTCAGAAAATATTAGCTATTATTAGTAAAAGTTTTTTGAAAGGAAATAGATAATAAGCACACACACAAATAATTTCAGATACTATTAAGTGATATAAGCAAAATAAAATAAGGCGGTGGAATAGAGTGACTAAACATGCTCCAATAGTGTCATGCCAATGTTTTACAAGAGCATGTGTTACTTCTGATTAAGAAAAAAAAAATGTGGGGCCAGCCCAGTGGCGTAGTGGTTAAGTTCGTGCCCTCTGCTGAAGCAGCCCAGGGTTTGCAGGTTCGGATCCTGGGCACGGACCTATGCATCGCTTATCAAACCATGCTGTGGCAGCGTCCCACATATAAAGTAGATGGAGATAGGCAGAGATGTTAGCCCAGGGCCAATCTTCTTCAGCAAAAAGAGGAGGATTGGCAACAGATGTTAGCTTGGGGCTAATCTTCCTCACAAAAAAAAAAAAAGAAAGAAAGAAAGAAAAAGAAAAAAAATGTGGCAAAACGTGATAAAAGTCTTTCTTTCTAAAAAATTAAAACTCTGTGGGGGGCCGGCCCGGTGGCCCAAGTGGTTAAGTGCACGCGCTCCGCTGCAGCGGCCGAGGGTTCGCCGGCTTGGATCCCGGGAGCGCACCGACGCACCACTTGGCAAGCCATGCTGTGGCGGCGTCCCATATAAAGTGGAGGAAGATGGGCACGGAGGTTAGCCCAGGGCCAGTCTTCTTCAGCAAAAAAAGAGGAGGATTGGCAGATGTTAGCACAGGGCTGATCTTCCTCACACACACACACAGAAAAAACCCTGTGCCACCCCTTAAAACACCTCAACTCAAATCTGAAACTCAAACATCTGCCTAAGAGCTCAGTAGAAAAGCAAAGGTTTTTGCTATAAATAGAGTTCATTTAAAGTTGCCTTTCCCATGCTTATATACAATAACTCTTGACATAAACCAGTGGTTTTTAAACTCATGAGTTCAAAGTTTTTGGCACTAGTCCCATGCTCCAAACCATCAGCCAACAGTCCATCTGCCCTCCCTATGCCCCATGCCCAGTCCTCTCACCCTCCACACACCTACACACTCACATGGCCCATCTCACATGGCAGGCAGGGTAGAGGGTAAACCATATCCAACACAAACACGTGTGCCTCCTGCAAGTACACTTCTTACCAACACTATCCTAATGTTCAGCTCTGTAAAGAGCAACTACCATGAAGATCAGTAGCATTATCAACTAAGGACTATATAAATGAGATTAACTTTCCAGATCTCAAATTCTGACGTTAGAATGAAAAAAAAAAATGACCCAGATGAACCCCTATGTAACTCAATCCCACAACTGTGGCAAAAAAAAGAAAAAAATACCTCCTTACATTCACTGAAGTATTTTTGAGCACCTATGATATTCTAGGCATAGCAGATAGAGATGAAGGACATTGCTCTTCAAACTCACAGTCCACTGGGAAGACAAGTAAACAGCAGCACAGGGTGCTAAAGGAAGAAAACACAGGATGGGAACCTCAATTCAGACTGCAGTGGAATGACAGAGAACACTTCCTAGGGGTCTGAAGTGACCAGACAAAAGGGGAGAGGACAACATGTCAAGCAGAAGCAGCAACACGTCCGGAGGTGTGGAAGTGAGATCTCTGAGATCCGGGAACTGGAAGGAGCTGACAATTAGGATGGGAAAGGACAGCCATGGCCTATGGGAGTGGCAGGAAGTAAGGCTGGAGAGACTAAGCTGTAAGGCTTACTTCGGAGATAGTGTTGGCAGCAAGACTGAAGGCAAAGAAGAGCCACTAAAGAACTTTAAGGGAGTGACAGGCATGATCAGAGCTGCATTTTTCTTAAAGATCACTCCAGCAGCAACGTGCAGAATGTTTTGAAAGAGTTCCAGATTGGCGGCTGGGAAGTCAGCCACTGGAAAGTTATCCAGACAAGAAATGATGGATGGGAGCGGGAGGGTAATTTCAAGCGAAATTCAGAAAGCAGAACTGACAGGGCCCTGGAAGCCTGGATGGATGTGGGAGGATGCAGGAGCACTGGCTGGAGAGCAGCAGAGATGGCACAAGGTTTCTGTCCTGTACATTTGTGTGGAAAGAAAATACAGGTAGTGCAGCAGATGTGTAGTTGGAAGGAGAGTAGGTTAGGTATTAGGGGTCTAGTTCTGAATAAACTTAGTTCAAGAACATCAAGTGGCAATGCCCGGGAGACAGCTAAATAAATGGGAAAGGAAGCCAGGAAAGGACTCAGGGCAGGAAATAACCAGGGAGTCATCCATAAATGGAGGAAACAGAGTATTGAGAGGGAGAAAATGGTGAAACAAGGAGGGGGTTCTGAGACATGAACATTCACAGGCAGAAAAGCACCCACAGAGAGGACTGAGAAAGAACAGTGAGAGAGGTAGGAAGAAAGCCAGCCAAGAGTGGAGAAATCAAGAAAGTTCCCCAGAGGAAATGGTCATTGTCAAATGTTACAGAACAGTAAGATAAGGAATGAATCACTTTAAGTATTTAAGGATGGAAGTGATTACTAGTGACCAGCAGGAAAAGCTTTATCATAGCCATTAACACTTGTCTCCAACTCCTCTCAACCTCTGACAGCACTTACTGACTGCAACACTTACTCGGCACTTATCACACTTGCAATAATCAGGCGGAAGCCCTTTCTATGTAAGAGGCTAAGAATACAAAGATGGATAATCTGCATTCCAGGATCCTGGAATCTAGAAGCCAGAGGTATAACAGCTGATCATAATACAAGAGGATGAATGCTACAGAACAGTAAAGGGAATATATTTAGTTCAGTTTGGCAGACATTTATCAAACATCTTCCATGTGGTCAGGTACTATGTTAGGCACTGGGTTAGCACAGATGAGTCAGACCTGGACACGTAAGCTCCATGAGGTCAAGAGTTTTACCTAATGCACTGCTGTATTCTCAGCATCTAACAGAGTGCCTGGCACTTTGTAAGAAATCAATAAATATTTATTGAATGAAGACATGGACCTCTTCTTTCAGGGGCAGCCAAGGGTGAAAGCTTCAGAGGAGACACTTTGTCATCTGGATTAAAGGAGCAGGATTTTGCTAGGCACATGGTGACTTTATTTTCATATTTATGTATCTCCTATACAAGACTAAGTTCCTAGAGACACACAAGTCTTGGTAACCCTACAGCTGTAAAACTGCCCTGTCTCTAGTAGGTCATCAGGAAACTGTTGATAGGAGGGGGCAGTGATGGGCGGGGCTCTCTGAGGTGCTAGTCATAATCTATTTCTTGACTTGGAGGGTACTTACACAGGTGTGTTCACTTTATGATAATTCACTGAACCATACACTTAAAATTTATACACTTTCCTATGTGCTCTAATTTTAATTAAAAGGCTTTCTAAAAAAGTAATGTTAATAAACTGCTTTCTTGTCCCCTAACTACCCATTCTAAGAGTTCACTTAACTCTTTTAAAGAAAAGGTCCAACTTAACAACGACAGAAAAGGATTGCTAAGGCCTACAGCAAGGTGATAACAAGAGAAGAAAACTGAAAGGCCAGTCATAGAAGAGAGTGGCCAGTATGGTGACTAGTCATGGGCCTTATCAGCAAAGAAGAAAGGTCTCTGCCTCAAGTAAATAACATCTCAGCAGTGAGAATCAAACTGTCCTAACAGGTCATTGCTATCAGTGCCAACATGCCTGAACACCGTCAGGCTCACGTGCACGGGCAGCTGTGCTGGTTAGAAGTGGACAGCAGGGCCGACCCAGTGGCTTAGCGGTTAAGTGCGTGCACTCCGCTACTGGCAGCCTGGGTTCGGATCCCGGGCGCACACTGACGCACTGCTTCTCCGGCCATGCTGAGACCACGTACCACATACAGCAACTAGAAAGATGTGCAACTATGACATACAACTATCTACTGGGGCTTTGGGGAAGAAAAAAAGGAGGATTGGCAATAGATGTTAGCTCAGGGCCAGTCTTTCTCAGCAAAAAGAGGAGGATTAGCATGGATGTTAGCTCAGGGCTGATCTCCCTCACCAGAAAAAAAAAAAAAAAAAGTGGACAGCAAGGTGCCAAAGAGCCTGCGGTGACAGCACACCTGCCCCAGGGCACAAACCACGGTGTGGGCAGGTGAGTATACCCACTGCAGAAATATTGGTACGTATAAACTTTTGCATGCATTTTCTCATGGGATCCTAACAACAACTCTCCAAACTAGACACTATCTCCTTTCCATAAGTGTAGAAATGAGTTCAGAAGAAACAGATTAAAAGTGGTCAAGCTGGGATGTTAACACAAGCGTGGCTGACTCCGAAGCCCATGTTATTTCCACCCCATCGTGCCATTTGGACTTACAGCAAGAAAGCATTTTCCAACAAACCAGGGAGCTCTGCTTCAATCCTTGTTTGAAGTGGAGACATCATAAAGCTTCGATTCTATTACACCAAAAAGACCTTAAACCCCACCAACACCCGCAAAAGGAGCCTCGTGGCAGACCTGGGATTTAGCTCTTCTCAGAGGACATGCCCAAAACACAAGCTTTTCCACCTCAAGCATGACATCTCTGGATCATGTCCTCCAGAAACCAAATGGTCCACCCAGTGCACACTCTGGTTTGTGTCCTCCATAGTCAGACAAGGGGGACTCCACTTGCATCTCCTTCCAGAAGAGTATTCACTGCCTCTCTTGTTCAAATACTACATGTCACTCAATATTCTGCCCCTTCTGCTTTCAAGTGTTTACTGTCTCTACAAAGGAGGTGGAGAAAAATGAACCACCGACTAATCAAAATAGCATGCTTTACCTCAATAGAAAAATCAACAGGTCTCCAGTAGATGCGCCTCACCTGAAACAGCAGGGCTGTTAGCCAGTCTCCTCATCAAACTTATGAAGAAATTCCAGAGAAAGTTCCCTCAGACAACCAATATGCCATACAATAGAAACGCACCCTCAGAAACCCTCCACTGAGACAATAGGCAGGCACGCCACAGCTGCTTCAATAAATATCCACTGATTCCAGCACACCTGATGGCTGAGACGTCAACCCGTGAATCACAGAGATGGGACAGGCTATCCATGGCCCCCTGGGTATTTGCCCTGGGTTCTGAGTTCTATTCCTGCTCAGAACTACTTCTTATTACCAATCTTATCATAAATTTACTGGAATAGTAAAGACCATAACTGCTTCAGTTTACAGAGTGTTTGCATTTCCTTTGTTAAAAAAAGAAAGCGTTTTAAATAGCAGCATCTCAGATCTTAACACTGCTGTTTTACAGCACAAACTAAAGTTTATACTACATATAATTATACATCATTTGTGTTGATGAAAGGAAGAACACGCATAATCCCAATGGGACAATACAAAACTACACACATAGCTTTGGAAAGTGTCTTTGTCATGTCAGGTCTTTCCAATTCAATAAGGACATATCTTATTCCCTACAAGCCACACTAAACTCAGAGGAAGCTAAAACGCTACCATATTTTCTCACTCTATAGCTCTGCTCAGCACTTTCCCAACTCCAATCCATGCTACAAACGGCCTATATTCAGGCTAATGCAAGCTGCCCAAAGCAGAGACAGCTTTTCTCTAAAGAGGCTGGATCTACCTTCCCCTAAGATAGGAAAGACAATCATTTTGGCTTAAAAGATCTACTGTTCTAGCATTTCTTGAGTTAAAGTAAAGATCCAGTTCATATCAACAAGCATTTAATTAAACAAAATAGATGACATCTCTAGTAAGAACTTGACAGCAAGATGTTAAGGTTACTCGCCAGTTGATTTTATATTTTTAAAAATGCACCACTAAACAGGCCCCTAAGCCATCTAGCGTGTACACCTACACTGAGCTCTGCGGATGGCAATGAGCCAGGAATCCTATCCAGGGACCACAAAAGGAAGTACAAACGTGACGAGCAAAGGGACAACTACCCACATCTCCCAGCAACAGCCAAAGCAACCAGGTCTAAATGCTGATAACTAATATTAGAAGAGGTAACTGAGCAAAGAAGTAATGCACTCTTCAAGCATTTCTTCAACAAATACTTGAGTGCCTGCTGTGTGCAATTTTAAACAGGGTGACCACAAGAAGGTGAGCGAGTTAATCATACTGATCTCTGAAGGAAGTGCTGTCCTCGTAGAAAAGAACAGCCAATGCAAAGAACCATCTGTAAGACCTTGTGGATCTTTGTAAGGACTTTGGCTTTTATTGGGAATAAAATGGGAAGCTGTTGCAGGATTTTGAGCAGAGCAGGGAAATTATTATCCAACCTTTTTAACAGGATCACTTGGGCTGCTGTGATGAGAACAGAGCACATAAGAACAAGGGCAGATCAGAGAGATGAGTTAGGACACTACTCCAATGACCCAACTGAGTGATGCTGGTGGCTTGGACCAGGTGGAAGCAGTGCAGGTGAAAAGTGGTCAGGTCACGGACATATAGGAAAGGAGGCAGGGCCATCAAGATTTCTTAATGACTTGGGTACAAGTGAAAGAGAGTAGTCAAGAGTGACTCCAAGGTTTTAGGCCTGAGCAACTAGAAGGATGAAGCTGTCATCAACTGAGATAGGGAAGCTTACACGTTGAGCACGTTTGAGGGGAAGCTCAAGAGTTAAATATTGGACGTACTGAGATTCGTGTTATATATCCAAGTGAAGATGCCAAGGAGTTTGTGAAAAAGGTCCTTAATATTTAGCTAGTCAACCAACATTTATGAAAACCTACCTAGACTGTTTTTAGCCCATGTATGAGCCTCAGACAACAGTGAGGGAAAACATAGTCCCTGGGCCTAAGAGCTCAGTCTAGAGAAGAAGATAGACTAAACAAGCAAGGATCACATAGGGTGGCGGGGATTCTATGACTGAGGTCTGTTAAGATACTCTAGCAACATAGCATAAGGACACCCAGTCATGCCAGGGAGGACTGCCTAGGAGAGGCCATGACAGAATGCATACAAAAAGATGAGCAGGAGTTATCCAGGTAAGAAAAAGGAAGGTGGGTGGAGGGAGGGATGCTAGGAAAAAGGAGCAATGTCTGTGACAGAAGGCTACGGGATCCTAGGACCTATGAGAAATCCAACTGGTATCCAGTTGAGGTGAATGTTGGCAAGTGGCAGGGGATGTCAGACTTTCAGGACCTCACCAAAAGATTACAAATGCCAACCACATTATGCAGGTTCAGATTTGAGAAGTACTTGGTATGTGTAATCAGTGGTGAGAAAACAATTATAGGATACTCAAGGCTAGTTACAAAACTGTGGAATGTTAAGGGCTGAAAGAACCCTCTTCTATAGATGAATATACTGATGCTTAGTAAGTAACTGGCAAAGCTAGGCAGGAACCCAAGTTTCCTAAATCAAAGAGGTGATGTGAAATACTAATGCTGACACTAAAAAGTGAATGAAAAGAAAAGAAAGAAAGCCCTGAAAGGGTGCTAATTAGTAACAAGAACACATATGAAAGAATAAATGTCACTGGAAAGGTAAATATATAGTAAAAGTAGTAGATTAATCACTTATAAAGCTAGTAGAAAGGTTAAGAGACAAAAGCAGTAAAAATAATTATGATTATAATAATTAGTTAAGGGATATACACAGTAAAAAGATGTAAAATATGACATCAAAAACAAAACATGGGGAGGAGAATAATAATGTTGAGCTTTACAATGGGATTAAACTTAAGTTGTTATCAACATAAAATAGACTGTTATAGATATAAGTTGTTACATGTAAGCCTCATGGTAACCACAAAGCAAAACCTATAGTAAACACACAAAAGGGAAAGAGAAAGGAATATAAACACACCACTAAAGAAAGTCATCAAACCACAAGGGAAGAGAGCAAGAGAAGAAAGGAAGAGAGAGGAACTACAAAAAGAGCAAAAAAAAACACAAAACACAATTAACAAAATGACAATAAGCACATACCTATCAATAATGACATGTAAATGGACTAAATTCTCCAATCCAAAGACATAGAGTGGCTGAATCAATTAAAAAAAAGACCCATCTATATGCTGCCTGCCTACAAGAAACTCACTTTAGATGTAAGGACACACACAGACTGAAAGTGAAAGGATGGAAAAAAATATTCCACGCAAATGGAAACCAAAAGAAAGCTAGAGTAACTATACTTATATTAGACAAAATAGACTTTAAAACAAAGACTGTAGTAAGAGACAAAGAAGGGTATTATATAATGATAAAGGAGTCAATCCAATAAGAAGATATAAGATTTGTAATTATTTATGCATCTAACATAGGAGCACTTAAATATATAAAGCAAATGTTAACAGACCTAAAGGAAGAAACAGCAATACAATAATAGTGGGGGACTTTAATACCCCACTTACATCAATGGGTAGATCATCTAGACAGAAAATCAATAAAGAAACATCAGCCTTAGACCACATTAGACCAGATGGACTTAACAGATATTTACAGAGTATTCCATCCAAAAGCAACAAAATGCACATTCTTTTTTTTTTTTTAAGAGTCTCAAACTTTTTTTTTTTTTTTTTTGAGGATCAGCCCTGAAATAACATCCATGCCAATCCTCCTCTTTTTGCTGAGGAAGACTGACCCTGGGCTAACATCTGTGCCCATCTTCCTCCACTTTATATGGGATGCCGCCACAGCATGGCCTGACAAGCGGTGCATCAGTGCGCGCCCGGGATTCAAACCTGGGCCGCCAGCAGTGGAGCATGCGCACTTAACCGCTACACCGTGGGGCCGGCCCCAAAATGCACATTCTTATCAAGTGCACATGGAATATTTTTTAAGATAGATCATATGTTATGCCACAAAAAAAGTCTTAAATAAATTTAAGAGGACTGAAATCATATCAAGCATCTTTTCTGATCACAAGGGTATGAAGCTAGAAATTAATTACATGAAGAAAACTGGAAAATTCACAAATATGTGGAGATTAGACAACATGCTACTGAACAACCAATGGGTCAAAGAAGAAATCAAAAAATACCTTGAGACAATTGAAAATGGAAATGTAACATACCAAAATTTATGGGATGCAGCAAAAGCAGTTCTAAGAGAGACGTTCATAACAATAAATGCCTACCTCAAGAAACAAGAAAAGTCTCACATAAACAGCCTAACTTTACATCTCAAGGAACTAGAAAAAGAACAAAGCCCAAATGCAGTAGAAGGCAAGAAATAACAAAGATTAGAGAAGAAATAAATGAAATAGAGACTAAAAAGACAATAGGAAAGATCAATGAAACTAAGAGTTGGTTCTTTGAAAAGATAAACAAAATTGACAAGCCTTTAGCTAGACTCACCAAGAAAAAAAGAGAGAGGACTCAAATAAATAAAATCAGAAATGAAAGACATGTTACAGCTGATACCACAGAAACACAAAGGATCATAAGAGACTGCTATGAACAATTATACACTAACAAATTGGACAACCTAGAAGAAATGGATAAATTCCTAGAAATATACAGTCTACCAACACTGAATCTAGAAGAAATAGAAAATCTGAACAGACCAATTACTAGTAAGGAGACTGAATCAACAATCAATAACTTCCCAACAAACAAAAGTACAGGGCCAAACATTTAAAGAATACCAGGGGGCCGGCCTCATGGCACAATGTTTAAGCTTGGCACACTCTGCGCTTCGGTGGCCGGGGTTCACAGGTTCAGATCCCTGATGCAGACCTACACCACTCATCAGCCATGCTGTGGCAGGAACCCACACAGAAAATACAGGAAGACTGGCACACATGTTAGGTCAGAGTGAATCTTCCTCAAGCAAAAAGAGGAAGATTAGCAACAGATGTTTGCTCAGGGTGAATCTTTCTCAACAACAACAACAAAAGAATACCAATCCTTCTTAAAATTCCAAAAAATAGAAGAGGAAGGAACCTTCCAAACTCATTTTACGAGGCCAGCATTACCCTGATACCAAAATGAAACAAGGACACCACAAGAAACGAAAATTATAGGCCAATATCCCTGATGAAAATTCTCAACAAAATATTAGCAAACTGAAAGCAACAATAGATTTAAAAGGCTCATACACCACGATCAAGTGTGATTTATTCCAGGGATGCAAGGATGGTTCAATATCTTCAAAAAATCAGTCAATCTGATATGCCATATTAACAAAATGAAGGATAAAAATCATAGGATCATCTCAATGGATGCAGAGAAAGCATCTAACAAAATTCAACATCCCTTTATGATAAAAACTCTCAACAAAGTGGGTAGAGAGGGAACATACCTCAACATAATAAAGGCCACATATGACAAGCCTACATCTAACATGCTCCACAGTGAAAAGCTGAAAGCTTTTCCTCTAAGATCAGGAAGAAGACAAGGATGCCCACTCTCACCACTTTTGGACATAGTATTGGAAGTCCTAGCCAGAGCAATGAGGCAAGAAAAAAAATAAAAGGCATCCAAACTGGAAAGGAAGAAGTAAAACTGTCACTATTTGCAGATGACATGATATTATATACAGAAAACCCTAAAGACTATCAAAAAAACTGTTAGAACTATAAATTCAGTAAAGCCGCAGGATACAAAATCAATACACAAAAATCTGTTGTGGTTCTATACACTAATAATGAACTATCATAAAGAGAAATTAAGAAAACAATCCCATTTACAATTGCACCAAAAAGAATAAAATACCTAGGAATAAATTTAACTAAGGTGAAAGAACTGTGTATTGAAAACCACAAGACACTGATGAAAGAAATTGAAGAACACACAAATAAACGGAAAGATATTCCATGCTCATGGATTAGAAGAATTAATATTGTTAAAATGTCACGCTACCTAAAGCAATATACAGACTCAATGCAATTCCTATCAAAATTCCAATGGCATTTTTCATAGAAAGAGAATAAACAATCCTAAAATTTGTATGGATAAAAGATTCCAGGGGCCGGCCAAGTGGCGTAGCAGTTAAGTTTGTGCTTTCTGCTTCGGCGGCCCGGGGTTTGCTGGTTTGGATCCTGGGCCCGGACCTACTCACTGCTCATCAAGCCATGCTAAGGCAGTGTCCCACATAGAAGAGCTACAACTCTACAACTATGATATAATACACAACCATGTACTGGGCCTTGGGGAGGGGAGAAAAAAGAAAAAGAGAAAGATTGTCAACAGATGTTGGTGCAGGGTCAATCTTCCTCAAAAAAAAAAAAAAAAAAAAAAAGATTCCAAATAGCTAAAGAAAACTTGAGAAAGAACAAAGCTGGAGGCACCATGCTCCCAGATTTCAAACTATATTACAAAGCCATTGTAATTAAAACAGTATGGTACTGGCATAAAAGCAGACACATAGATCACTGGAAAAGAATAGAGAGCCCAGAAATAAACCCACGCATATATGTCAATGTACAACAAAGAAGCCAAGAATATACAATGAGGAAAGGATAGTCTCTTCAAAAAATGGTGATGGGAAAATTAGACAGCCACACACAAAAGAATGAAACTGGACCACTATCTTACACCATTCACAAAAATTAACTCAAAATGGATTAAAGACTTGAACATTAAGATCTGAAATCATAAAACTCCTAAAAGAAAACATAGGTGGTAAGTTCCTTGATATAGGTCTTGGTAATGATTTTCTTGAATCTGACACTAAAAGCAAAAGCAACAAAAGCAAAAATAAACAAGTGGGGTTATATTAAACTAAAAAGCTTCTGCACAGCAAAGGGGACCACCAAAATGAAAAGTCAATCTACAGAATGGGAGAAAATATTTGCAAATCATATATCTGATAAAGGGCTAATATCCAAAACCTATAAAGAACCATACAACTCAATAGCAAAAAACCAAACAATCCAATTAAAAAATGGGCAGAAGATCTGAATAGACATTTTCCCAAAGAAGATATACAGATGGTCAACAGGTCTATAAAAAGATGCTCTACATCAGGGAAATGCAAATCAAAATCACAATGAGATATCACCTCACACCTGTCAGAATGGCTATTATCAAAAAGACAAGAAATAACAAGTGTTGGCAAGGATGTGGAGAAAAGGGAACTCTTGTGCACTGTCAGTAGGAATGTAAACTGGTGCAGCCACTATGGAAAACAGTATGAGGTTTCTCAAAAAGTTAAAAATAAAACTATCATATGATCTGGCAATTCCACTTCTGGGTATTTATCCAAAGAAAACAAAAACAGTAACTCAAAAAGATATATGCACCCCCATGTTCACTGCAGCACTATTTACAATAGCCAAGATATGCAAACAACCTAAGTGCCCATCAATGGATGAATAGATAAAGTATACACACACACACACACACACACACATACATATATACACCCATACACACACGCACTGGAATATTATTCAGCCATTAAAAAAATGAATGAAATTTTGCCATTTGCAACAACATGGATCGACCTGGAGGACACTATGATAAGTGAAATAAGTCAGATGCAGAAGGACAAATATCTTATAATCTCTCTTATACTTGGAATCTAAATATATATATTACAAGCTCTTAGATACAGAGAACAGATTAGTGGTTGCCAGACACAGGGGGTGGGGTGGTGGGAGTAATTTGTGGGAGCACAGTAACATTGTGAAATGTTTTTCATTTTTTTAAGTTTAAAAGAAAGGAAAAGATATATATATATTTTTTTAATCCTAAATATCCAAAATATTATTTCAAGATATAATCCATATAAATAATTAACAAATGAAATTTAAAAATACAATTAAAAAAAGTGAATGACTTAATGACTGGGTAACAAACCCTTTTACAAGTCTGGAAGTTTCCAGTTTTCTGCTTTCAACAAAATAAAAGGTGGCAAATGGCAAGCTGGTTGATTCATAAAAATACATCGGGTTCTGACATATAATTTGAAAGGTAAAAACTGAATGACCTTGATATAACAAAAGTCCTTCCATTCCCATCTACTTATGTCAACAGTGTTCTCAAGGTTTATATCTATACAAGTGAAGAATCTTATTCCAGCATTAGGTAGTCATGATCCACTAATACATGAAATGCTTGGTTCCATCTATCTCAACAAGTTGCTTTTCAACAAAATTCTACCTTTTATGTTTAATTACTTATCAAAATGTATATCTACTTGTCTTGACTAATTTATGCTAATAGCTAGCAATGCAATCCAAAAGAAATTAACACTGAAGAGACTTATGAGAACAGGAATTAAAATCATTGCAACGTACCTACAGATTTTTGTTGCAGAAGGATGAGAGAATGACTAAGAAAAAAATTTCAAGCATAAAAATAAATGAAATTAAGTTAACATTTTGTGGGAGAAGTGGAATTGAAAAATAATTTCACAGAGAAAAAAGGAAAAATGAACATTTCTGACTCAAATAAGAGTTTATTCATGTATTTTTAAATGAATGACAATAGGTCATATTATTACAGTATTTAGAGCCCACCAGATACATTTAAAAGAATGAACCAATTACTTTAAAATATTAATATTTACAATATATCAGAAATTATATCCTTAGCAACTCTTTACTCATATGATGAAAAAACTGATATCAAAACTATGAGACAGGATAAGAATTCCCCAAAATTCTCTTAGCAGTTACAGATGCAAACATGTTTGAAGACCCTGGTCCAAAATCACAGATCAGTCACTCTCAGCACCCCATTCCACTACAAGCTCTCTCTATATAGCTGAGAAGGACTACCGACCTGCACAGGGCAGACAGTGCACCCTCCACTCTCAGGTGGAGGCAATCCTAGAGACGTCTGCGGATCTTGGACTTCCTAGAGGACAGAAAACAGGGGATGCTTGCTGATCTAGATAAAAGCATTTCAGGTTTTAAAACGGCTCTTCAGCCAAGAAAAAAAAAAAATGACCAAAAAGTCGGACCAGAAAGCATTCTTCTGGAATGATTAAAGCAATAAAGAAGCACAACTCTACTTTACCTACACACACAAAATTCTTATGCTTCCACCATGTATGCGCCAGGCAAAATTCTTACAAAAGCCCTACAATAACATGCCACAAGTCACACAGAGGGCATGTGGCAGAACCTTCTGTCACTATTATTGCAAAAATTAATGCTCTACCAAAGTGAAGTGTGTTACCTCATAGGACAGGAAGAAAAAGCACTGCTGGGCATGTGTTCTGTAAGGTACTCAAGGTTACTATGTAGGGTATTCCAGGTTACTATGTAAGGTATTCAAGGTTACTGTGTAGCTATTCAAGGTTACTATAGAAAGTATAGGAGGTTCAGAGACACTCTTACACTTTTCCTGTGGTTCCATACAGAGTAACCATGTGAAAATAACTGCTTTTTAAAAGAAACCTATTCTGGGCCAGCCGCGTGGCTTAGCAGTTAAGTGCTTGAGCTCCACTACTGGCGACCCGAGTTCGGATCCTAGGTGCGCACCGACGCACCGCTTCTCCGGCCATGCTGAGGCCACGTCTCACATACAGCAACTACAAGGATGTGCAACTATGACGTACAACTATCTACTGGGGCTTTGGGGAAAAAAAAATTAAAAAAAAAAAAAAAAGGAAACCTATTCTATAGAAAGATCACTTTTAGGGGCCGGCCCCATGGCATAGCAGTTAAGTGCACACGCTCTGCTGCTGGAGGCCTGGATTGGGATCCCTGGTGCACACCGACACACGGCTTGTCAGGCCATGCTGTGGCGGCGTCCCACATAAAGTGCAGGAAGATGGGCATGGATGTTAGCTCAGGGCCAGTCTTCCTCAGCAGAAAGACGAGGATTGGCAGATGTTAGCTCAGGGCTGATCTTCCTCACAAAAAAAAAAGAAAGAAAGAAAAAAAGAAAGATCACTTCTAATAGTCAGGTGGCAAAACAAACTGATTTTTTTAGAATTATCACCCTCTCCCACCATCATTCAAAATTCTCAAAGCATATGCAATTGGTTTTATAACCAATGCCCCCATATCTAACCAAATTGCTACTTACGAGAGCCCTGAAAGCCCAATGCTTTATATGATTCTTTATATTTTTCAGGTTATTGTGTTAAATAGTCTATTGACGGTACTTTTATGACTGTAAATACTTTGGCTCTCTCTGCGTGAATTCTCATGGTAGACTAACTCTTGCGTGCGTGTGAACTGAATGCAGATTAGGATTTTTTTTTTGTCAACACCTCACAACTGTTACATCTTTTATTTTGTCTTTTAGAAAATTGTCTTTTCCCTTTTATTTTCATGTAAATTTTGCAGTTACTTGTTCATTTGGAAATATTTCACTTTCAAAAATAAAGTTTTGACTTGCTGTTTTATGTAGGATTGAAAGAAAACTAATATTTATTAAAATCAAATGATCAAATTATCTGTTAAAAAGATATTTGAAAATGTTTCCACTGTTAAGCAACTTTGTTGCTGAAAACCGTGGGCACCTATAAAACTCATAAACAGAAACAAACTTGCAAAATACTCCAAATGAGGATTTTCACTGGGTTTTTATTTTTATTTTATTTTTTATTTTTTTGTGAGGAAGAGTGGCTCTAAGCTAACATCCGTTGCCAATGTTCCTCTTTCTGCTGAGGAAGATCAGCCCTGAGCTAACCTCTGTGCCTATCCTCCTCCACTTTGTATATGGGATGCGGCCACAGCAGGGCTTGACGACAGGGAACACAGGTCCACGCAGGTGGGGGGGGGGGGGGGAGGATGTTGTTCAGAACCTGCGAACCCCCCCGGCCGCCCCGCCGAAGCGGAATGCAGGAACTTAACCACTACACTACCAGGCCA